ATTATCGTCATTATCATCGTCATCATCACTACAGTGAAAAGAATAAATAATTATCCTTTTTTAAAAATTACTATTATTATTATTATTATTTTTTTTTTTTTTCAATAAAAAGTGGAAAGAAGGGCTAGGAATGGAGAGAAAGAGAAAGAGAATGGATGAAAGCATGGGAATGAATTTAGATAAAAAGATGAGAGTAAGATTTGATTATGACGGTGATTTTTCATTCTTAGTAGAATGTAGAGGAATTGGATTTCGAATTTTTGGATGAATTGAAAATACATTTTATTATTTTATTTTATTTTATTTTATTTATTTTTGTATTAGTCATTGACATTAATCACATGTTTTATATCAAGTGTGAACAAATTATTGAGAAAATAAATGCAAAAGTAAAAAGGGAAGAATAATTTCAAAATTGTACAGGTGTAATTATGATTAGTGGCCTAAGTCAAACAAATTATTATTCAAATTTATTTAATGACTTATTAGATAAGTGATCATCAATCAAAAATATTTTCCATTTTATATTTATTGTGAGTTGTTCAAAATAAATAATCACAATGGTTTCTTTTCAATCAAAAATTACAAAAATTGATTTTTCAAATTGTATTTACACTAACTCAACAATAATTTTTGACAATAACTTAACAATTATAAAATAACCATTTTTCACACCTGTAATCAAACAAACAACAATTGAAGTCTATAATTCTCTGTAACATTTATCACATTGCCGTACATTATTAATTTGATGATTGTGCTTAGAAATACGAAGATCGGACGACTATATCCGTCATTAGTCGCAACGTAGTAATTGATTAATCAAATAAATAATAAAACTTTCTTTGTCGTGTAATTTGTTTAACTTTAATTTTGTTCTTTTTGACTTAGCCCACTGTCATAGTTTCTGTTAACCAGCATAAATTAGAAAACAGAGAAACATATATACATATATATATATATAAAAGGAAAGAGTGTGTGTGTGGCTATGCAATGTGCTTGAGTATGAATGAGAGAGAAAGAAGAAAAAAAAAGCTAGTTGATCAAGTCATGGCTTCGTCGAAGCTTTTAGTGACCAATGACACGCACTTTAGTCATCACACACTATCACCAATATCATCACCATTAAAGGGGGTTAAAAATCAATTGAAAAAATGTCAAAAAATGACGCAGGGCAAGGCATTGACTGGGGGGCCAGGGGCGGCGGGATGGATGCAGCAACGCGAGGCTGTTCCCGAATTTCCCCCTCTCAACGATTCAGCGGACTCTGATTCCGACCGAGAAAATGAAAAGCGACCGCGTGTTTAAAATACAATCGTTATCTTATCGACATCTTGAAAAGTATACGTACAGTTAATAACTTTACTTATAGTTAGTTATGAAAAAGTGTGAAAGAACGGTTCTATACAAAGGAAATGGAATGAAACATAATTTTGTGTGTATGTGTGTGTTTGAGGGTAAGGGTGAGGGTGAGGATGTTTGTTTACATGATTGAATGCAAGTATGAATTAGGAGAAGTCAGATCATGAGGATGAAGATGAGTTTGTTTAAATAAATTCATAAATAATATACATAGGGGAAAGTCACCTATGAATTTTTCATTTTTAAATGTAACTTTATTTATTAACACACTATCGTTTGGGAACGTCGTGAGTTTGACTCACGCATTGTAGCGGACGAAAATGAGCGAAATATGAAAGCAGTGCACTTTTTAGAAAACATGTTATATCTTTACATCTAATAGTAGGATTTCAATGTAATTTGAAAAAAAAAGGTATCAAATAGTATTTCGAAGATGTAGAAAATTTAAACTCAATGCTATCAAAATCAATCAACTGAATTTATGCTACTTTGTAAGCACGCAACTTGCAGTGTTAAAATAGCACATTTCATCAAATTATTAGTTGTTCTTAAAAATTAATAAATTTAGGACTAAACACTAGTCAGGCTTTACAAAAAAAAAACAAGCATTAGTACTGCATAATAATACAAAATACAAACATTACGTTCTGCATAAAACGTATTAATACGCGACCCGCCGATAGTGTGTTGAGTGAACTTCCCCTATATATGTTTACGATTTTACGGAAAACGCATGTTTTATTTGCATTAAATATTTCTCCAATTTGTTATTTAATTCTGACACGCTTTTTCCGATTTGTCGATTTTTCTTAACACTTGGCATGCGGGTATATTTCGCCGTCAAGTTACGCGTGCAGCGGGTGTTTTTTCATGAATCGCGCGGGAGTTTGATCAAAAATTTCTTCTATCTTACTTTTTGCATCTTTGTCGAATTATATACTAAATGTACATTGAAAAATGTATAATTTATCATATACATAACTAAACGCTTTTTGTTTACTTCACTGTGTTGTAATTATACGTCATTCGTTATTCACCACAAATCTACTAAATACGTATTTTCACGTGACCCGCCTTCCAGTGACAGACTGTGAAAAACGTAAAAATACGTTACCCGCGCGCCAAGTGTCAACGCGTCAAAATGATGATTTACAATTTTTATGATAAAAAAAAAATATTCCGAAGTAAAAATTTTCTTTTACGGAAAAAGATTTGAATGAATGAACTAATGWATGAATGAATGAGTGAATTGATGGATAGGTATCTGAATGAGAGAGATAGAAAATCGAATATGAAAATGAAGAAGAAGATGATGAAGATGATGACGAAGATGAGGATGAACAGAAAAATGAAAATGAAAATGAAAATGAGAAGACAAATATGAAAGAAAAATTTTGACCACGAAACTGATCGATAATTTGACTCTTTTTACACATGCACTATATTTATATACAAACAAAATTTATTTATATATTATATATATATATCACTGAATCATCGTAAACGATGAAAAAATATTGTCGAGTGAAAAAAGAAAAACTAAACCAGGTAGTTTTTTTAATCGTTGATTTTAATTATTCGTTTCTTTTTGTTTGCTTTTATATTTTCTGGCTTATTATTAAAAATTGTATACAATTTTGTGTCGAATCGAATGTAAACATTTTTAAATTTATATTTCCGGATACTTTTGATGTATTTTGATTATTTTCTTAGATCGTCGTACATATTAAGAGAAATCGAGATAAAGAATGAGAGTAAAAGTGTGTATGTGTGAGTGAGAAGAAAGCCCAGGGTTTTTACAAATTTCTTGTTCTCTTTTTTTGTTTATTTTTTCTTAACTTGTTAGTGAATAATTTTTTTTTTTTTTTTGGTTTAAATTAAAGCGACCTTTTGTAATCCTCGAACCCTAAGTTCGCACGATATTTTATTATTATTATAATAATAATTATTATTATAGTTATTACTATTATTATTATTGTAATTGTATATGCTATGTCGATGTTTTGGAGTACGTTTGTATTAATGGTTCTGAGTTCCGAATTTTTTAAGTTTTATAAGTTCAGAGCTTTCAAAAAAAAAAAAAAAATAGAATAAGAGAGGAAGATAATAATAAGTTGGAGTAAATGAAAAGGATCGATGAGCATAAGTTTGTTCTTTTGGTATTTTCTTTTGAAATTTTGGTTTCTCTTTTCGTTTACCTCCCTGTATTCCATCGAAATAATATTCAATATATTGTTGTGTAAGATTGCTATGGAAGAAAAAAAAATGAAAATACTGTGCGTGCATGTGAAAGTAATATTTTTAAGCAAGTCGATAATTTTTTTTTCTTTATTTTCTAATTTTCTTTCTTATCAATGTTTCTCCTAATTCTCTTTAATAAATTAATTTGGATTGTTGTAGTAAGTCAACAGGCATATTTACCTAGCACGGAAATTTTGTTTTTATTTATTCAAATTTGTACCGCCATATATTTAAATCTTTCTTTTTCTTTTCTTCGTTTCTTTTTMTTTTTCTTTTCTGATCTTTTAATTGATTATTAAATACGAATGTGAGAGAAATTTACATACATTATCACATACACGATATACGTACAGAATGAATTTACACGTTTGAAACAAAACATATTGCTATGCAACGTGCTCTGATATTAAAAAAAAAAAAAAAAAAAAAAAAACAAGATTAAGGGATGAATATTTATTTTTATGAAAATTTATTCAACTTTTATGCATTCTGATATTTATTAGTTAAATGTTAAAAAAATATTTATACAAGATTTGAATTAAATATATTGTTCATGAACGTTAATTTAATTCGTACATGAACAAATATTTTATAATTATAAGTGTGCAGTATTACGACCGAAATTAACATATTGTTAACCGGCATATTTGTTTAAAAATTTATCTAATATCACCTGCTATTACTTCGTAATTGGATTGAAAAGTAAGACAATATTAATAATTTTTAACCCTTTGCACTCGAGGCCTTTTTCACTTGTACTAACCAGCAACTCGAGACGATTTTTTGCTAAATTAGGGAAACATTTCACATATAAATGTAATAAAAATYTCACCAATTTATTTATTTTCATATCAAAAACCACAAAATTTGAGAAATATTATAATCTGTAATTAATTTTTGTATGATATTTCATAAAACAATACTCAAGTTGCATTCTAGGTTGATCAGGACACGTATCACAATAATTACTTTATAAAATAAGCATTATAAATTAATATTAAATTTATATTTATATTATTATTATTCATATTAAATTTAAATAATATTAATTATATTAATTATATATAAAATTAATTATATATTAATTATTATTTATATTAAATTTAAATTATATTATACTATATAATATAATATAATATAATATAATATAATATAATATAATATAATATAATANATATAATATAATATAATATAATATAATATAAATATTACTATATAATACTAATAGTTACTTCCGGCCTATCTTTAGCTGTATTACGATCAGAGTAAACCTTACAGTCCCTTTTCGGCCCTTCAAGTATTATCTTTCAGTATATCTTAAAAGAAATATCTTATCACACATCGTAAATAAGCAAATAGAGTAACAAGAGACTTCAAATCATCCGGGCGCCGTATCAGCGCCATTCGAGTTGCCACTTAAATCTGCCAGGTGCTAATTCGGCGCTGCTCGAGTGCAAAGGGCTAATAAATTTCATTTATTATTAGACTTTAAATATTTATTTTTTGTATGATAAACAGTATAAACAATAGTACAAAACATCTTTTACTAGTGACCACAGGAACACGAGTTAACTCGTGACCGGTCATCAATGTTTTACAATTTTTCTGTTTCTAAACAAAATAATTAGAAAAAAAAAAACCAAAAGATCAATTGTTTCACACATCAATTAATTTATGTTTCTTTTTTTTGTATCAGAGCATGTAACTTAGTAAAAAAAAAAAATTAATACGATTCATCAAGTCCAATATTTGGACACAATTTGCCTTTGCTTCGTCGTTCGAATTAAAAAAATGTAATTAAAAAAAAAAGATAATATTTTTTCTCAATAAGTATTATATATATTTATATATTTAAAAAAAAAAAAAAAATGATGCAAAATTTTAAGATTACAAAAATCAGGGGAATGTGTATACACTACCACTACTATGCATGTGAAACTTTTTCACGTTAAAATTTGCTCAGATAGCTCGCGTACAACGGCCGAATGCTGTTTGATTTCAGGAGCTGTCGCCTTGAAATCCTTAGGAGAAATACGCAAGAAGATTTTGCTAAACCGATAGAAAAAAAAAAGAGTGAGGAAGAGAGAGAGAGAGAGAGAGAGAGAATGGGAATTAAACGAAACGAAAAAGAAAAAGAAAGAAAATAATCCAAATAATTAAAAAAAAAGAAACGAACAAACAAATTTAAACAAAAGATTTATTATCGATAGTATAACGCATTAAAAGAACGATACCGTAAGGGAAGCCAAAAAGTAAAAAGCTAAAAAATTTCAAAAAAAAAAAAAGAAACAAAAATTAATTTAAAAAAAAATTAAGAAAAGAAAAGAAAGAAAGAAAAATAACAGGCAATCTGATCACCTCACTATCTGTGATCCGATGCTCGTCACATTCGTGGGCGGGTTATACGATACTAAAAATATTGATATATTAATTTATTNAAAAAAAAAAACAAAGAAATTACGAAAGAAAGCAGGCAATCTGATCACCTCACTATCTGTGATCCGATGCTCGTCACATTCGTGGGCGGGTTATACGATACTAAAAATATTGATATATTAATTTATTAAGAGAAAGAGAGAAAGAGAGAGAGAAAAATAAATATGTGTAATAGTGTTCGCAGGAGCACGGAAGCGTTCGTATACGAAATAAATTTATCGAAGGGTAACAAATTATATAAAAAAAAAAAGAACAAAAAAAAATTAATTCGTTTATTCTTTAATGTAAGACTGAACAAAAAATATATATGTGGATAAAGTAGATATTCGTATTATCGATGTAGCACGCTCGGTAAAAAAGAATCCTCTTGCTATTGGGTCGTCGAAGTAACGCGCGAAGGAAAAGTCTGTTCAAATATATTTCAAACGAAAAAAGAACAAAAAATATCATTTTTTGTTTTGTTATTAATATTTTTTTATTTCTTTTTTTCCATGTGGAAGAAAAGAGAGAAAGAGAGAGAGAGAGAGAGGAGGAGAAGGCTTTTCCTACGACTGCTTTGATTCGACGTTGAGAACGAAATTAATTTGCGGCCTAATTGTTGTTCCTTTTTCTCTCTTTTTATATTTTAACTTTTCTATTAACAATAAATTAAACAAATAAATGACTCAGTAGTATCGTTAAGAAACGCTTCCGGGCTTCGACGACGACATCATCTTCCTCTCCCGGTGGTAAAACGAAAAAGAAAGCAAAAAACTAAAAACATTAGAGAGCGAGAGAGAGAATGAAAACGGGCGAGCGAGCGAACGAATGAAAGAGAGAGAAAGAGAGAATGAGGAGAGAATGAGAATGAAAGAGAGAGAGAGAGAGAGAAAGTAAGAGAT